CGCATGGAGGCGACATGTAAACAAGACCGCGCTCTGAAGCGGCACCCGCTGCAGAGAGGCTGCACTGAGTTTTACCATGGATCTATTATAATAGTTTTACAAATGCTGTGTGAAGAGAAGAGACGAATGGAGGATTAACGTCTGCGGCAGCTTAAAACTACGATGATCAGAGAAGCAGGACATTGCTAAAAGCTCATGTTATTATTAGTGTTAGCCACAGCGCCATATCTGCATCATGGTAAGAAAACAGAACATCCACTCATGCTGCTGATGAAGTATTCTGGCGATTGTTTTGTGGGTTTTATTTGAGGCTTTTTCCCTGAATAAGTTTAGTTGAAACTTGTGGCAGTAGTTTGACTGGGCTCAGATCGGGTCAGAACATCCTGAGACTGTTGCAGATTCTGCCTCGTTCTCATTATTGTCAGTGTGAAAAAGTTACAGTACTTATTGTTCACGTGTGAGTCTGTTGTGTACAAACTACACGATGTGCCTCCTGTTGTGTTAACGCTGTCTTTCGGTGCATGTGGTTTGTGATGTTGACACTTTGCTGCTATGACACCGGACTTTTGAATAATTATTATTTTTTCGAAAAGATTGTTGTTCGGGATGTTCTTTTACATAACTGTGGTCCTCAATGAGTGCTTCGTCACAACTTGTGAAGGCACCGTGAAAGCAACAATATCAGTAGCAACCGGTGAAACGAACAGTGAAGAAGCCCGTCCCTCACATTTCCAAACAGGACTTAAAAACATTATCAAGCACCCCATTTTTGGGGCGCTTGTACCTTATTATACTTATTGTAATCTATACAATAAAAAATATGTTTTTTGTTATATTATGCCTTCCCGACGAAGAGACTACTTTTCAAACAATGTTGAAAACCGCCATCCTGTTTTTTTTCTCCTTCTAAGAACATTTTCCCCTCAAGAGACCTTACTGATTCAGTTTCACGCTCTGACCATCTGTACCATCACAACTCCGCAAGGTTGGCTGGGTAGAAAGATATTCCACAGTGTAAAAGACTATATGAGCTCAGTATTATGAACAGTACATAAACAGCAGAAATTCATACAACGGGAAAAGCAATTAGTCCCCGATCAATTGCAGGAAAACGACACGCTCTGTGGTATCTGCGTTCCATTGTTGGGCAGAGTGGGCAGTTCTGGCTCTGTGTTTGTAGTTTTTTGAAGCGTTTAAGGCATAAGTGCCAAGAATTCACACTATTCTCCAGCTCTTATCTGCACCGCTCTGTGTTTTAGTATAAAAGACTACTGGTGTTTCGGTGGCTCTAATCAGAAAGCTTTAGCAGTCCGTTTAAGTGCATGTTCTCCCCGTGTCTGCGTAGGTTTCCTCCGGGTACTCCGGTTTCCCCTACCACTAAAAATATGTCCAATAGTTCTAGCATGCGCCTCCTGTACTGGCGACTCTGCTCTCATCTCTGTGTGGAGTAAGAAACAAAATGCCCAAAAATTAACAATTGTAAACCGCTTTGAGACTCAGATCTGCAGTGAAAAAGGCGGTATATAAATAAAGATTACTAAAAAGATTACTATTTAAACCTCATGTTAGATTACAGGCTCTGTATTCATCCGCCTGAGCAGTCACCACAGCAACACATAAATTGAGCTCAAACAGATAACTTGGTATGCATGATAAAGTTACTTTTTAAAGGTCTGTTGCATCACAAGATGTTAAAAATAAGTTAGGAGAACTTTGCAATTTCTCCTCCTGTGCGTGTGCCTGTATGTCTTCCTTTTTGTGATGACAATCGTTGCTAAGAAGTTTTTGCTGGATCTTGGCTCATAAAACAGTCATTTTCCTCAAACATGTTTTTGAACATGTTATTTGTGTTTTGACCTTAGTACAAGCAGATTAAACTGAACTCACAGCACCGCGTCCCTGCCTGGGAGCCTCATCAGTCCTGGACCTACAGCCTCAGTCACGGATCTACAGCCTGTCCCTTCGTTCCCTTGCCAAAAATATAGGCATTTGTTGTGAATGCTTCTGATTTATCATATCTGAGCCAAAAGGTTTACCAGATAGTCTTTTCAATAAAATTCACAGTCAAAACTTTACACAGTCTAAACTGTTTAGAAATTTTACATTTCTCTTTATTACAATTTATATAATTATTAGCAAAGCAAAAGGATCACTTAAGGCAGGGGTGCTCACACTTTTTCAGCATGCGAGCTACTTATAAAAGGATCAAGTCAAAATGATCTACCTACTACAAAAATGCAAATCATATATTTATTTCAAAAAATATTCTTTATATCTACAATGTATGTTTATGTTACATGCAAAACCGCATGAGCCAATATAGCACAACACAACACATTACCTATGTACATTTTTTGTCATTACCCGAGTTTACTCTGATGACTTGCACTGAATTGAATCGGCCAGGGATGCATAGTCCGGAAAATTGGTGGCAACTCGCTGACAAGTTTGTCGTGGGTTTAGCTTTCCTGCACTGAGCGCGGTTGTTTGCGCATGTGCAGTCACCTAAGTGTCAGTAAAACATTACTGAGTAAAACACAGATGTCATTTGACTGTGGTGCCATGTCCATGTGCCATGCCTGTTTTTTTTAAATCCAAATATTTCCCCTCCTCAGTTTATAAAATAATTTGCATCCACACATCTGCGTTATCAATCACATTCGTAACATTCCAAACATGTGCGTCTCTTACGTCCTGTCCTGCGTTGGGGAAAAACACGGAAGTGGGCGGAGCTTTGATGCAGACGCCGGTAACGGCACTTTTACAGTCATAGAAGACACTTAGAGTAAAGACGTATGTTTACAAGCACTGACCCCGTCCTCAGCCCTGGTTTAGTCCTGGTTTGGTTGTTTTCGAGCGTGAGTCCCCGCGATCACTTTGCTGCTCTCTGATGTGGAGCGAGGATGTTCGCTGCTGCGAGCATCTCACAGCGAACAGTTTTTAAGGTAGTATGATCCATGCTTCAGTGATCAGAGGAATTTAGGGGGGTACTGTGGCGTGCGAGAACGCAAAACTCTGGTTATCTCTGTCTACACACAAATGCATTAACGGAGTTTTCAAAAATCTCCACTTTTCCCGGAGTTTTTTGTATATATTAGTTTAGAATGTGTAATTTTTTATTTATTTAATGCGATCTACCAATACTACCTTTGCGATCGACTGGGTAGATCGCGATCGACGTATTGAGCACCCCTG